TCTAAACCACCAAATCTGGCCTAAATCAGACAATGCACATGGCAATCCAGAGACTAGGGCAGGGGCTAAACCCTTGGCAAAACTTAGAAGCTATCTAGAACTCAGTTGAAGAGAACAGGCTGAACATGAATTCTAAACTGAGCTTCTGGCATGACCAGCTAAACTGAATTTTCCAAATATTTCTGGAGAATCTACCTAGAGTGTAGATAATACACACATTTATCTTGTATCTTCCAATTAATAGCAGTGTAATATACCTGGGGATCTAAGCTGCACTGTAATGATAGTTTATCTACAATACTACCGTGATAATGGCCATATGAGAATGTGGGGCCAAAGTGAAAGACTTGCACTGCCAACCCTTACTACTGTACGCATCTACGCACCGTCTTTAGTGTCAGGAATTGTATAGCTCTAGTCTCCAAACTTAGTGAAAACTTGGCTTTAGAATCGAAGATGACTTATGTCACCTTAACTTCAAGGGTTGATTCAGACCAGAAAGCCGTCCTAAACGCATGACCGCTGGTGTGCATTGAGAGAAACATTACTGATGCTGCAAAGCATCACATGGTTTCCTTTTGTTTTTTTCTAGAACTTTATTGAAATGTCATAAAATAACATGTCATTCTGTTATAGAGGCACAGTGCGTTGCAGAGCAAATGTACTGCGTCACAACACACTGCGTTGGAAAAAAAAAAAAAGCACACACCACCGCAATGCAGTGGTGTAAACTCGGCTCACAAAGTAAAGTACCCTTCTACACAGCATTGTTTATTATTAAAGCACAGGTACTCATAGTCCGATATGCACCAGATGCATTGAGGCTCCGCTGGAAAAGGCAGCTAGTGCAGCTCCAATGCATCTGGTATTAATTGTCCCTTAAGAGTACCTGTGCTTTAGGGATGTTCAGATACCAGCTCAATATCGGACCTCTGAAAAGTACAAGCATGCATATGTACTCAGTACTTGGTTTGGGCCCCTTTTGCAGAACTTACTTTTGCACGATATTCTAATCTCTCTCTCTCTCTCTCTCATCTCTCATCTCTCAATTCATACATTAAAACAGGGCTGCACAAATCCCAGGAGCCCCATAGCCAATCTTCCTTAAAAATTACAGCTGCCTCCTAACTTTTGAGTTTTTCCCAAGTCTAGTCTTGGAGCCATCGCCACTTGTACAAAGTACTGTACTTGGTATCGGAACATCCTTAGAAATAACACATTATCCTTTTTTTTGTTCTGTAATGAAGGTTTTAGTGTATTTCACAACTCCAGTGATTAAAGCATACGCCAATCCTGTGTGCTTCCACGCAGTCAGATCTTGCAGATTACTATGGTTGGCTGTTTCAGATTACTTTGTGAAAGTCTTATTTCACTGAGCCATTACGAATGTCCTAATTACCATTAATTATTATTTCCAGCCATGTGATTTATTTTTTGATGTTATTGGCGGTCATTGCTACAACTAATTATTGGTAATATCTATAGCTAGGTTAATTTAGCTCATGGTCTGCTGTTTTCATAGTGAAACATTTGCCATAGCTGGGGTGAATTTAAAATACAAAGAACCCAATGAGATAGTTAAGATTAGACCACACAACATGAGAAAAATGGCTAATGCACTATGCCTAGGATACAACAAACAGAAAATCAATATGATGCCCACAGCTTGGCTATGCAAGTCACCATATTAAAACACGTTATATGCAATCAGGGGCGTAACTACAGATCATGGGACTCCACAGCTAACCTCTGATGTGCCGCCCATCTTCCCCCTCACAACCTGCATACTGTAATTGATCTTAAAATACGAAAACATGTCTAACTCTACAATTAAAAACAGCTATCAGTTTTTATCTGAGGAGGAGCTGTGATTTTTTTGCAGCCTGAGGAAGACTGCATTAGACTCACAGGATACATTTTAGTACTGGCTGGGATGATTTGAAGCTCTGATGTCAATAAATCTACACTACATAGTCAGCTAAACAAACCGTACTGTGGCTTGGTTCACATCTCTGCAAAGTTGGGTCCTACATGAGATTGTGCATTACACTGTTAGGTGTGCTGCAGTGCCATTATTTCCTAATGGCACTCCACGCACCTAGCTATTGCATGCATGTAGCATCGTCCCACAATGCATAGTAACTTATTACCATGTATTGTGGTGGGATGCAATATTTAATTGAGGGTAATGCATTTTTTTTAGTGTTAACTAGATGCGGTAGGTAGCCAATGCAAATGACTGGCTTTCCCTACCGCAATGCACCCTGTGGCACATGTGCGCACTGGCATCACAGATGTGAACGGAGCATTACTACACAAGCTTGCAAAAGGAGATCAATGACTAGAAACTAAGATCCTGAAAACTACTCCTGTGTCCCTTTCTACCCCCAGGCCCCACAGCAGGGGCGTTGGCTGCTATGGCTATTGTTACCCCACTGTATGCAATGTTAACTACAAGATCCAAATGCGTAAACAAGCAAGCTAGCAACTGGAAAGAAATGTTTCCATGCAATGCAGGAAGAAATGAAAATAGGATAGTTACTATTGCTGTGCTCTTTGCCTAGACATAGCCGCTTCAGAGTGGACCCTATAAGGCAAAAGGGTACAAGACAAGTGGTTAGGCACAGCTAAATAGGCGACATGTTGCAAACAATTATGAACCATGAGCACTTATTGATTGCTGTGCAAGGAGAGGCAAGCTAAAAAGTGACTGCTAAAACAACAATGACAGCACATGCTAAACCAAAAATAAAATGAATGAAAAGAAGCCTGTGCAGCCAGCACCATTGCAGCCTTATTCAATCTATGTAAAAGAGCCATGGGTAAAAGCAGGCAAGGCATTCCATTCAGGAAACATATTTAAAGTTATGCTTACTTAAGTAATTCTTCACCTAAATGTTAAAGCCCAACTTTTCAGTTAAATTAGCAAAATACATTCCAAGTGCACCAAAACAAAAAAGGTTTGCAAAAAGTTTTATTGTTCGTTTGCTTTAGAAAGCAGCCACAGTCTGAGTAGAAAAGCCTGTCCCCTGCCAGTATGCTGTAGAGAAGGACCCTTGCTGTGTTAAATCAGTGACCTTTTAAAGGGTCCACCACACCCCCTGCTTAGAGTTATATCTCTCCAAATCAGCAGGCAACATGAGCTTTGCTGAGTGCAGCGCTATAGTTCTTACCAAGCAGGGAGCATGCCAGACCTCTGCCGAGACCCCAATGAAAATCAGCCAGTGAATGAAACTGTCACAGGTCGGCTCAATAGATCGGGAAGTGAGCAAACACATACCGCTCACTCACTTCTCAATCTATCCCGGCAGAGAGCCGTGACTGTCACTCACGGCTCCCTGCAGGGATTTCCCCCCCCCCCCCCCCGAGCCTGCAGCGCTGACTGGCGGAACGGACGGGGGAGGTAGCGGGTACAGCTGCCTCTGCCTCTAGATAGGCAGATCCAGCTGTCACGCGCAGCTGGGTGGATCTCGACAGTAAAGTCGGGATCCGTCCCGGCTGCGGCGTCTCAGTATACCGCAAGCTGTAGCTCGCAGTATACTGAGCTTAGGGTGTGTCCTCCCGTTACCCTTAGGAGAACTATGGGGAAAAGCCTGACCCCATAGTTCTCCTTTAATGAGTAAAAGAAGAGCTGCAATACTGAAGAAAATATTGCTTTAGGTTCCCTCAGTGCTGGCCATATGTCTAAAGGCCCAGGCACTTGGTTATTTCATCTCTGCTGACCAGAGGAATCAGACTGGCCGATTTTCCCCATTGTAGAAGACCTGCAACCAAATGGCGAGGCGTTCAAGCATGCGACCAGTACAGAAGGGACCATGGAAAAATACTGTCTCCAGGAAACGGTATTACAGCACTTGTATTATTTTGCAGACACTTAGTATTATATAATACTCTTTTATATCCACTTTGGAAGACTGCCGATGTTAACATAGTTATTGCCAACCTTTGAATGTAGCTCTACTTTCAGAGTAGCGGATGTCAGGTGATTAAATTGTGTCAAAGGAATGTTTGTGTGTTGCCCACAGCTAACAAGGTCTTGAATTTGTTTTCTAGACCAGCATTGTGCAACACGTACATCAAGCCCAACACAGGTCTGCAAGAAAGATGCCGGAACACAGCATATAACAGAGTAGGAAAAGCGACAACCTCAAATAGCCCTGCCTTAGTAGAACAGGAAGCATCACTGCAGTACAGCTCTTGCTCTACCAACAGTTCACAAGTCCCAAGCCCCACTCCATAGCTTTAGTTGTTCAACTGTAATGACACTACAGGCTAACAAACTGTAAATTGCCATTTCTGCTATTGGTGGTAATGGGTTCTCTTGTACACACATTACCAACAAAGCCTATTTACTTCCCCCAATATTTATATGTGCAGGATGTACATATTACCAGTTTAATAAAAGGTAACATAGTAAACGTAACATGTATTTCAGCAGTAACTTTGCCTTGAGGTCTACTTTAGGTAAAGGCACATAGGAAAGGCTAAACAGTAGGCTTGTAACATGGAATTATAAAATGGAAGTATAGTACATAGAGAAGGGGAGTCAAAACTGTTTCTGTAGAAAGACAGAGCTCTGAAAATAGCCTCTTAGATATACACTGAGTGGCCAGATTATTATGACCACCCCATCAGTAATTCGTTGGGCCACGAGATGACTCCACGAGATGACTTTGTTGGTCCGCCTCGTGACTCCACGAGATGTTGAAAGGTGATACAAGGAATCTGACACTGCACTGTTGCCCTTCTGTTGTCTTGTACCAGTCTTGCCACTCTCCGTTCTGCCCTAACATTGAATAGTCGCTGACGGCCACAATTCGCACGTTCAGACCCAGATTTTCGGCTGACAGTCCAGTCTTTAAACACTTTAACAATGAGCCCCTCTTGAACATTTAACAAATTCTGCTGTTTTGCTGATACTCGCTCCATGGCTCCGAGCGCCAACAATCATCCCACGTTCAAAGGATGTTAAATCGCGTTTTTTACCCATATCTTCAGAAAAAAATAAAACTTCTACTGTCGTGTTAAACAACCTGCTTCCCTAATTATAATGGTCTGGCCCTCTAGCAACTTCAGCACGAAATTATAGCTAATTTGCCTACAAACATCAGGTGGTCATTAAATCTGGCCACTCAGTGTATAATGTACATCAGACCAATTTATAACTTGCATCAAACTAATTTATAAACATCCTCTTTCATAGGGGGTAGATCCTCTTTAGACACAAAAACCATCAGATACAAGACAACTGGACCAGCCACTATGACAAACCGGCACACTTTACACACACATGGATTCTCATTATTCTTTGCCAAATGTATCCCACTAACAAATTTGTTAAAAATACTTGCTAGTACTTAGTAATACTGCATACGCAACGAGATTATACATTTTTTTTTACGTTCATCTACAAGACATATTGTATAAGTGCTTTGCTAGGGCATTTCTCCTGAACATAGATAATATGGACATGTTGAGCTAAAGTCGGTAAGGTCTCACATGAACAACACACATACTGGTCTTTCCTCAGTGAGATCCCACCTCCAGAACACACAGTGATCTTTCGTCAATGTGATCCCACCTCCAGAATACACATTGGTCTTTCCGCAGTGAGATCACACCTCCAGAACACACTGGTTTTTCTTCCATGAGACCCCCACCTCCAGAACACACATTGGTCTTTCCTCCGTCAGATCCCACCCCCAGAACACACACTGGCCCCACACACACACACAGCTCATTCACCTGTAGCTATTCCCCAGCACAATGCCCAGTTACCCCTTTAGGGACTTCTCTCTGTGCAGTATCTACACTCACACATTGCATAAGAAACATGGTCACTGTCCACCCCACAAACATTTACCACAGGGCCAGACTATCTGGAGGTTCAGCACTTAGAGTAAAGCTAATTTCAGAAGCAAGCTATGCTCCCCAACCAATCTGTACGTATGGAAAGTTTCTCATTGCAGGGATATGTGTGTGTAAGGCGGACTAAGTGTGGGTCTATGTAGGTAGGAGGATTGTGAAGATATGTAAAGATTCTCCCACCAACTGTCATATAAATTAATATTACTGTATGTTTTGAGTCACCAGCTATTACATTGACTAATCTCAATGCGTATAATTCATCATACCAGTTATTACGCTAATGTATCAGTCGCAAAACTAACACACCAGAGGAAGAATCATTTTTTAAAAAAGACAGCAATTTTCAGCTCATTTTAATGAGATTTGAAAAGGTTGTCCAACGGCTAAAAATAAAGTAATCTGTTGTATATTATAGTGAAAGGTTTTTAATTGAGCCCAATATACCTAATCACATAGTAATGGATGTCACTGTTTAGAATCCCCTACCAACTGTCATTGATGGATTTCACTGTATATAACTTGTTATAACCTTTCACCCAAAAGGTCTTGCAACTAGCACAACTAATAATATTATATACAGCATAATGTCAGCAACCAGCAGAAGTATGCCAATTTGGCCACTGTACTTGAGGCACCATTCATTCACGGGACACCAGCAGACGTATGCCAATTTGGCCACTGTATTTTAGGCAACATTCATTCACGGGACACAAGCAGACGTATGCCAATTTGGCCACTGTATTTTAGGCACCATTCATTCACGGGACACCTCTAGAAGCACTGCATGCACTATGAGATATATGGTTTGTAAAGTCCATCAAAAACATGAAAAGCAGTGAGTTGTAAAATCAGATTTTTGTTTTCTGATTGACCTCCAGTGGTCCCTTACCAGGAGGTATTAAGGATTGCAGTAGGGTATTTTGTAATTCCTCTATCCGTCTTGCCTCCACTACAGTATGTACCCAATCACAACAAAGTGTCCCCAATGTGCCTTCTATCCTCAACGTCTCCAAAATTTGCTCTCTGACAAAGCCCCCTCCTTCCCATCTTCACGGTTCCCAATACTTCCCTTCCCTTACTATTTTCAAAGCAGTACTCAATTTGAGCCCTCACAAAATGCCCAACCATTCTTAGTCCCTTCAATCATACATACCTCCTCCAGCAGACACCAGTTGTCAGTACCTGCCCTATCTGTGTTCCTGTTAGAGGAATTTCCCCTCAATTTCTATTCTACAGACAACCTTATCTCCAGACAGGAGCAGCAGCAGAAGCAGTAGTAAAACCTTACAGGAGTACTAAGCCTTCCCCCACTCTATCTGAAATTAAAAAGACAAACAAAAACACGAGACCGGTTTATGAAAATCTTCCAAAAAGTATAACCAGATAGGTATAAGGTAGGCCAAAAGGAACCAAAAGGCTCTCCACTAAACCTGCAAAGTACAACAGAACATCCCAAACAAAAAGTATCCATATGCCTCCCTCGTGTTACAAATCCCCCTCCACCCCCACCATATATCATTTCTTGGAGTTCTTTACAAACAGAATTAGAGGCAATTGCATTATACTTTTGTAGAAAAGCAGTATTAGGAGCAGATCACAAAACACAGAGGGTGGGACCTTAATGAACTACAAGAACTGGATTTGACTAAGTACAAAAATCCTGTTTTCGTAATTGTTCATTAGGGATACAGAATTTCAAGTAAATCAGATATTTGGGATGCAAGCCATCAGTGCAAAAACTCGGGGCAGACTGCAGCTCAAATAGTTGACTGTAGGTCCTTTATGCCCAAAGCTTGAATCAGCTGAAGCCTAAACATCCACCTGGTAAAACTTGAGAGAACATATAAATGAAGACCAAGTGGTGGCTTAGCAAATCTGAAAAACAGATGCCCGATACTGAAAGGTCCACAAAGCACTTACTAAAACAGTAGAATGGGCCTCGACAGGAACGGGTGAAACCTCATCTTTAATCCATAGGGTTGTGTGGTGATCTGTCAAAGCCACCAAAAAATTGTTGATTTAGAAGCAGGCTGTCCCTTACAGCATATAGCTGGCTATTGCCGGCTATATGCTGACAGCGCAGAGCCACGCTGCAGCCAATATTGTCGGGATTAACCCTGTTACCTGATCGACAGCTGGCTCTGCCTCTCTATCCTAACGTATGCTATGGTGTGCTTTAGGTTTTCCCCATCACTTCAAATATATTTTCATGTGATATATGAAGCCTTAGAGTGAGGACTACCAAATCCATAGTGATATATAAAAATGGTAGAAAAGAATTGTAAAAGGGACCTAAAAACAAAAAAACTGGCTAAAAATTAAATTATGACAACCTGTTTTTGCAGCTTTTTTTTCAGTGAAGATTTTTTTTTGGCTTAAAATTGGATAAAATCTTTACTGAACAAAATGTATTGATTTCACAGTGAAAAGAAATGTACACGAAAAATAAGGGGAAAAGGGCTAAATCAGTACATTTGCTAAATGGCACCAACAATCTTTTAATGCCAAGCTGCGAGAGCACAGAATGGGCCTGATTTACCAGAGAAGTAGGGCATGTTCCCCTTGTGCAGCGGTTCTCAACCTGTGGGTCGCGACCCGGTCGGGGGTCAAATGACGATTTGCCAGGGGTCATCTAGCGGCTCCTGGCCGCACAGCGGCTCCCGGCTGCCCGGGAGAGAAACACTTTCTCCCGGAAAGGTTTACTCTGCTCGATCGAGCAGAGTAAACCTTTCTCTGCTCTGTTTTTTTTTTTCTGACATCGGGGCCGCAGGCCGCCGTCAGTCAAAAAAAAACAACAACCCACCATAGGAATGCATAGCTAGATTCCTATTGGCTATTTCACTTTGCAATAGCCAATAGCAAACTAGCTATTGCACCCGCCCTCTGCTGCTGCCATTCAGCAGAGGGGGACCTGAAGTTCTCCATCAGGTCCCCTTCTAGTGATTGACAGCAGCAGAGGGCGGGTGCAATAGCTAGTTTGCTATTGCAAAGTGAAATAGCCAATAGGAATCTAGCTATGCATTCCTATGGTGTTTTTTTTTTTATTCTGACAGCGTACACAACGCTGATATATCCACAGTGCAGCTACCAAAATATTGTGTAGGACTACAAATCCCAGCAATACATTATACACTGTATGTATAATGTACTATTGCTGGCATTTGTTGTATTCCTATATAGCTGGTGGTATTCTGCATTGCGCCGTATAATCATTTTATACAGCGCAATGCAGAATACCACCAGTTATATAGGACTACAAATCCCGGCGATAATACAATTATATGGCACAATGGAGAATAACACCATCTATAGAGGAAAACATCAGATCCCAGCAATAATACATTATATACAGCACAATACAGAATACCAGCAGCTACAGAGGACTACAAATCCCAGCAATAGTACATTATCCTATAATGTACTATTGCTGGGATTTGTAATCCTCAGTAGCTGGTGTTATTCTGCGTTGCGCCGTATAATCATTATACAGCACACTGCAGAATACCAGCAGCTATAGAAGACAACTCCTCCCAGGCATAGTACATATACAGCGCATGGCAGAACACCAGCTACAGAGGACTACAAATCCCAGCAATAGAACATTATAGTATAATGGACTATTGCTGCGATTTGTTGTATTCCTCTGGGATTCGTTGTCTCCTTTAAGCAGTATTTTTCAACCTGAGGGCCGCTGTGTGATTTCTGCTGTGCTAGGTGAGAGTCCTCCTCAGCCCTCTCCTAGCGCAGTGTCATTTCTCCCGCCACACCACCAGATGTCACTGCAGCAGCCGCGTCATCCCTAAATTTTACCGTTGGGGGTCACCACAACTTGGCAAATGTTACCAAGGGGTCCCGGCCCTAGAAATGTTGAGAACCACTGACCTAGTGAATGAGGTCTGTCAAGAGGGTTGGTGGCTTCCGAATGGCCACTTCCTCAGGACGAAGGTGTGTTATACACTTTTGCGAGCTGGAATAGCCAATCAGCGAGAAGTATGTGCTTAGCTTACCTTTGCACTACAGTCTAAATCTGCCCTTTGCCTATAGTGCTGTGAATACTCTGTACACAAACTGGATCAGTATCATCTCTTTCTATTGCAATTGACCTGCATGCTTGACTCCTGGAGCTGTCTTCTTTCCTCAACTTTCTGGTACTACAAAAGTCTTTCTCACAGGATATCAAACAACTGAACAGAACAGCTGTACCTGCATTAATATAATTCTATTAAACCCAATATGAAATGGATCTGTCTTTAGATTTGTCAATGGTGCAAGTTGCAGGAGTAGTATATACATTACAAAATAAGGAAAGAGCGACAGCATTACACACCATATCTAGATCAACCATTTGTTGCCACCCATAACCTTTAGTTGCCTGCATGGTCTTTAAAATCCAAGACCACTCATCTAGAAATGATTATGCTCTGTTTCTTTCATTGGTTATATTCATCACAACCACATCATTGCTAAAACTAGAATCTTCATAACGGAATCATATTAGCAAATGTCAAAAGAAAAAAAAAAAAAATGCTAAAAGACCTTAGAACTTGGGGGCTTACAGGTTGGTGCCTGGCTGCTCAGACTGCGGTTTCTTGCATGCATGCTTTTGCTGCTCAGATATTAGCCAAAAGCTATGCACACAAATTCATTCAAGTGATGTATGTGAAATACAAAGCAGTATCTGTAAATCACAAATGGAAAACAAAACTTCACTATGAGAAAATGATACTCAACCTATGGCCCCCAAGAATTGCTATATTGTTATGTGCGCTGTTTAAGTCTGTTTACAGACACTAAAGGGTCAGTTCACCAAAAATCCACCCAGTGACGTTTCAGTTATGAATGGGCATTAGTAGGCTGAACCATCTATTGGCTTCTTACTTCTCATGGGGTCCCCAACTAGAAGATCTTCCCTTTGCATTCCCTGCCTACCACCACCCTGTAGCACTCCCCATGCTGCAATCTCCATACATTAAAATAATGGAAACAGGAACAAGGAGAACCCTCAAAGGTTACAGTAGGTAGGATGACACAGGAACTTAATTGCAGATAATTCAGCACTAGTGTCCATGAGAAATACAAGAACTCAATGGATAATTAAGCACACCAGCATTTACCTAAATCTGAACTATTTTTTTGGTGGACTGAATCTTTAAAATAAACCGATCATGTGGAAAATATGAAGAATGCTACTTCTGACATTTTCTTCTGAATGCTTGATGCCTGGCTATTAAGTTGACCAACTAGGTTTAATAATTTAGGTCCCCGTCCCAAAAAAGTATGTTGATCAGAAACTGTAGAGGTCCATACTTGTGGGTCACTGACAAAGTATTAAAAAAAGAGGGTCAGCATGATGGACAGGCAAATGGCATTTTCAGAAACAGAGGTCATTAATTGCAGCCTCCATGTTTATCTTGCCACAGGTTTAGTTTAAGGTAGCCATAAACCTTAAGTACCTGGCCAATAATACCTTTGATTTTAAGAGACTGGTGTCAGATAGTGTAGGGGCTAACATCAGCATTTTGAGAGACCTATTCTGGGATAAAGGTTGAGCACCACATGCAGAAGGATGATGTACTGTCAAAAGAATAGATGGCTGAATGAGTGAACGCAGTTAAAAGAAAAGATGCGGAGGATGAAGGAGAGATGAGGCGTAGTAAATACAAAAGAACAGATACAAACAGATGGATAAAGACACAGGTCCACTGAGGAATCGGGTACGAGGTTTGCTATTAGACTTATAGGTCACTCTCTCAGACGTTTGGTGGTAAACCGTCCAGCCTGCAAATGAATATAGAGGAAAGAAAACAGAGAAATAAACTGATGAACTATTATTACCTCTCAGCGGTTGTCCTAAATCATCAAAGCAGCTTTGCCACCCAAGTGATTCCACTTGCTACCTAGTAAACATTCTAGCAAGTCAAGAAAACAAAGCGCTACAGAATGCTCTACAAAAAACAAGGGATGGAAATGATATTGATAATGACCTCTCCTTCTGGCCCGGGAACCCCTTGACCATAATATTTTTTACCAAAGAAATGTCCAGCGCACAGCAATCTACATACTGGGCCTGATGTATAAAAACAAGGGCAAAAAAAAAAAAAAAGTTTCATCCCCAATGCCATCCAGTGGCTTCACTTTTCTTTGCTCCAGGTTTTGTACATCAGTCTTGATGACTTCATGTAAAAAAAAAAATGAAGGCAATGGTTTATTGCTCATAGCAACCAGATTTTGTCACCTGTACTACAAGACAGACAACAGGCATCTCCCTGTGCAACAGGCAATCCCCTTTCAGATGCTTTCAATACACGAGGCCTAAAATTGCTGAAAACCATGCTGTGAGCTGTAATGTCAAGCAGCCTCATTCAGATATCTAGAAACAGTAAGACAAGTAATGAAAGATGATTTCTAATTGGTTTCTATGAGTCTCTCATCGACTTGGCTACTGGCAACAGGGTTTTGTCACCATGGGTTATGACAATATTTTGGCAATAATAATTTTTTCAGTATATATTCAGTATAAATATATTCAGTATATTTATTTTTATATAGACTAGGGAAGGTTTAGATCCTTTGTCAAGTTTTTATTGCCGTCTTTGTCCTTGCTGGAAAAATTCACCCTTCTATTTGTCCTTGTGACCATTGTCACCATGGCAAAAAGTGAGGTAAAACACGGTCACCAGAGCAAGAGGTTAAGAAAAATCCACTGACTTTGGAGAGATTTTCTTTGCACTTGCAGTTGTTTCTTCGGCACAGGAAGTGACTGAAAATATCCCCAGTAAGATAGTGGCAGCAAAAAAATGGTTTAAAAAAAAAACCTAAAAACAAAAAAACTATTATTAATACTGTACAGCTATTCTGTAGATTTTTACTGCCATATGCAGTAAGTTAGCAAGTCACCATTTTTCAAAGCATGACACGGGAGTTTGTTGGTTTTCAGTATGCCATCATTTCATAAATGTGCCTCATCACATGCAGTGTGAAAAATGCTTTACTGTAGGCCTCATAACTGAAAGTGTCTGAGAGAGGAAATGTTGCCCACCATTGAAATAAAGGATGACTAACTGGTGCACATGGGCAACAAGAATGCCTTTGTGTGGAGCAGATATGCAGACCAACTCAGAAAAAGTAAGAGCCAAGCTTACAATTTCTATTATAAAAGGAGGGGGGTTGTCAAATCAGACGAAAAGTCGTTTTGTCCTACAAGCAAAAACACCTGAGGCACTAGAATGGGTGCTGAAGGTCTTCAGTCAATGCATCTGTTAGGAATGAAGATAGGAGACTGCATACTCAGACATGTTCAAGCACAGTTACTGGAAGAACATTTCAGCACCAAAATTTAAGGCAGTCACATGGTATAGGAGGTTTCCTCCTACAAAAGTAATATTGGCACCAACATTGTAAATGTAAACTTGAACCATGAAAGTCACTGTGCAGCAAAGTCTGACAGGGTCAGTTGAAAAAGAAGAGTATTTCCAGTTTAAACTTTTTTTTCATTAGTTTCCCGAAAAGTGCAGGGAAGGTCAGAACTTCAGTCAGGTTTTTCCTTCTGTCTGAAACCTTGCTAGGTATATTTGTCCTCACTTCCTGTGCTGGTGACCAAGACAGGGAGCAAGAGGGAAATCTCCAATCAGGGACATACAGCATAGACAAACTTGTCAATGGCACAGGAAGTGTGGGAAGTGTGGGAAAATCTCCCCAAATGGGCCATATACACAGAAAGAAAAAAAACTTGACTAAGGTTCAATCCCTTCTCCCCTATCGAAAGAAAAAAAAAAGGATGGAGTTCTGGTGCTAGAAGTGTTCCTTTATCATTAGCAGTAAAATTGACCAAAAAAAAAAAAAAGAGAAATGCTGGTTAATAAAGTAATATTATCTGTGCAAACATGATGATCGTGTTGACTATTGGGATTAGGTTTGGTGTTAGGTTGACTATTATGATTAGGCTTGATGTGTTTGGTTAAGGTTTTGTGAAAATAACAACGTGCATGTTGCCTAACCCCTTTCAAATGGGCAAACATTTTAAGAAAAAAATGTTTTCTACATTTTAATGTATTATTTTTTTACAAATGTAACTGTATCTAACAATCACACGCTGAAGGCTTATTCTGTCAATGAAGCTTCCAGCCTGCATGTGATCTCTATGTCATACCCAACACCATGATCACATGATGGGGATCCACTTTGTTCCCAATCGTTAGTGGGGACCTGAGTGGACAGTGACAGCAGGCTGGGTTTTAACCCCTTCGTGACGTGAGACGTACACTGTACGTCCCGTCACAAAGTGCTCAAATAACTGGCCACGTACACTGTACATGACCAGTTATTTACTGCTCTACAATGCTGGTAACCGCTGAGAATCAGCGGTTACCATTCATTAATGGATGCTTCAGTATAGCGGCATCAGCTGCATAAAGTGGTGGATGCTAGCTCTGTACAGGGAGGATATAAGGACTGTGGGCAGACAGAGGTTAAAATTAACCTTTCCTAAGAGAAATGTGGGAGCTGTGATTGCTGTCCTCCCTTTGAAAACGCTAAGCGCCTGGCCGTTATGTTATGCTGTTATGTTGACCCTTTAGCGTCAAGACTTCCTAAGCAACTAATGCAGCAAAAAAAAACCCCATTCAGTGTACTTGTTCTTGGTTAGCATCCGAGATTCCTGAAGCAAGAAGCTCAGTATGAGAGCAAGAAAACCAGCATTTGTAGAATGAGAAGATAGCCTCTCAGTAAAGGTTTTCTCTAATAATAAAATTGTAAGCGTGATAACTCCTTTCAGAACATTCCTGATTTGTTTTTGTGCTGGAAATCATGTTCCCCCCAACAACCCTATCAGTTTTTGTGAGATAAAAGCCAATGTATTGGTTTCTGGGCACTTGATAAAGGAAACTTTCCTGGTACATTGTGCATTTGTCTCGCACAATAAATCTTGAACTGTGGCATTGAAACAGCTGTGCTGTCCTCGATCTTCATTCCTCGCAGGGAAAGGGAATGCATTTTTAAAAAGAACACTAACATATGAAGAAAACCAGGGCAATAAGCCTGCTAACCGTTTATACACTGTGCAGAAGAGTGTGCGTCACTAGCCCGTCGTACCAAATTAAAACGCTGAATCAGATTAGCGAATTATGTAATTCGTGTTTCAATGCTAGCAAGCGGAAATTTGACAGTGCAGCTTAGCCAAGACTGCCCCGAAATGTACCTGAATAGATTTCAGCACAGAGAAGATGAAGATGAATGAATCATTTTCGCAGTGTCTGGCTTCTATTGAAATGCAGAAACCCTGCTGTAAAAGCAGAAAAGCCACGTGCAGTCGGAAGGCAACACAGCCCCTTGTTGCCTTATTATGCATCTGGCTACATTTCATCCTGAGATGCTGCACTGACAGTGAGACTAGCTCAGGAAGAAAGCCCCGCAGTGATAGATCACCTTGTCCACAGCTGCCATGCACATCACCACCATCCCGGACTACACCAGAACAGATATTGTCAGATGACACCGTGACCTTCACTGAGCAAGGCTGCTGCGTCTGGACACCACGAACCGGGGACGCTGTGAGGGAGGAGCCAGCAGTTTTGCCCTTTATATCTGGGTGAGATTTAAGTGGATCCTTGGCAGGTAACCCATTACACTCAGCAGTGATATTGCCTGCAACAAAAAAGCAGATGTATAGAGAGAACATGATCTGCAACAACTAATATAAAGGAACATTAAATCAGACATATTACAACTTACAGTGCAATATAGAATGTAATATAGCATTTAAATTGTAATTTCATCATTAAAGAGAACCGGCAGGGCTGGACCTATGTACGATTATATTTAGTCTTAAATCTAAACTCTAAACAGAAGCATCTGTTATAATTATTACATGATGAAATGTATGCAAGCAGCAGAGCTCAGGCTGGGGGAGGGAGAAGCAACACAAGCAGCTAGTCAGCTGTGCAGTGCAATGAGCATGCAGATAGGAGGAGAGAGCAGATAAACTCATCATTATGCTGCTTTTCCATGCACTGTCCAGTCACATGCTGGGGGGCGGGGAGGAGACCTGTAAATGTTCGTGAACTGCAGTTGAGAAAAACCAGGCCTCCTTCCCTGCCTATATATCCTTTGGAAGGTAAAAACTGCTTCTGTGTATGTATTTAATCTGTGTATTAAGGAGTTTTAAACTATTTTACATGTGAAGGCTTACCTATTAAAAGGTTTGCATTTACCCCCTTACTTTGCTTTAAATACTTTCCGTACATGTCTGATCCCCAATTGTCCTACTGTATCAGCCTCAGACAAAGCAAGTCAAGTTTACACTTATTTTTAAGAGAGATAAATATAAAGAAACCGTCACTTTGTCCAATTGGGGCAATGTAATCGATTCACTTGAAATAGTATCTCCCTCAGCTACTGATTGCCATCTTTGCTGCACCATTCCTCTTTTGGGTTTCAGGAGTCCTAACTCTGTGTAAGCTCCTTTTTGGATGTGTCAGATCTTACAAAGGGTTAATGACTTCCTCCCCTCATGTGACTATGTTCGAGCCCGCATATCTGAAGGTGCCAACATACCCTGAAGCACCAGTATTCCCCAACGATGCCAACAGAAAAACTAACTTACTCCTTGTGGGTCGCTATGCCTATAATCAGGGCCGCTAAAAAGGGGGGATACAGCAAGTTGGCCGGACCGGGCTCCATCATCGAGTCACCGGCTTGAAATGTTTTCTTCCCTTATTTCTCCCCCAAGGCTCTATTTCTTTTATTATTTTCTCTCCCTACCCCTCCCCATGCACATCTCCCCCCCCACCGTATGGTTCTTAGCAACTGGGACGCTGTGACTGGCATCTCACCCAGCTCTTAGCAACTAGTGACATCACTGATTGCCAGGAGCAGGACGGGATTAGCCCGGAGTGTCCCAGGTTGCTAAGAGCAGAGCGGGGAGATGTGTATGGGTTTGTTCATTGAACTGCACAACTGCTAGTGTGAGTGTGCCCATACAGTGCCGATACGCTCAATTGCATTTTGGGGTGCCATTTAAATGAAAGGCAATGCAATACACCTGCCGCACTGTGCCGCATGGCAGGTGAATTGCGCAGTTATACAACAGTCATGCACATGACTGTTATAGGCAGGGCCTATAAAAAGATCCAAAAACCCAAACACACCATTGTTACTACTCCATTTAAAATAAAGTTTTCATTTTTTTAAATGGGCAAAAAAAAGGGAAACATGGGGGAAGCTATAAGATATAAAGATCAGGACACAACAAAAGCAATGATTTTCTAAAACATAAAAGGCTTTGCATACTCTAACTTGGAATTAAATTTTAAAGGTGGACTGTTTCTTTATAATAGCATTGCACAATATGCATACACAGCTACAAAGTGCATCACCTACTTGCCCCGTTTTTCAGGTGCTGAACCAAAGGATTAAGCAACTTTCCGCTTTTTAGTTTATTCTTGCTGATTCTCCGTCGACGGCCACTTGGTGGTGCTGCGTGAAGGAAGCCCACATTAGGAGGGAGAGGCTTGCCCAGCCTGACGTAAAGAGCTTCTATCTCTCTTCTCTGCTGTACTTGCAGTTCTGTGATTTCTTTCATGTGCCTAATGGGACAAAAGAAAAAAAAAAGCTTGACTTGTACAACCGACATAAATCAAAGTCTCAGCCAGCTATACATTATCCTTGTACTTGTAGTGAATGCAGGACAAACCTATGCGGGCAGGAGGTTGTCCAGCTGCAGCTTTGCATTACTATACAATGAATAAAAAGCTTTTAGTGCAACACATTATCGATCCCCAAGGTCTCATTGATTAAAATGAACTAGGACAGACCTTGTAAACATTTTCAAAAGACTTAAGGGCAACAACGATGTGCAAAATTCAATGACGCACACAAAACAATTTTACATACAAGGTCTAATTGGTTACTATAAATTACTGCAAGTGGCACACTGCTCTCCTCTTAATAAATGAGCCCAACTTACTGTAGCAAAACAAATAAAAGGAGCCCCCTAAAAAATGTATAAACTGCAATAACCCTTGTCACAACCAATTAGAAATCATTTGCTAGCCATACACAAATTCAAAATGTCTCAATGATCCATTTGTTTAGTAAAACACATATCAAATAATTTATACACAATCTAAAAATCTTCTTGCTTAAATGTGATCACTTCTAACATTAAGAGTCCTTTGGGAACAGTTAAAATGTTGCTGTGAAAAGGGTAATTTTGTGTTTTAATGAATTGGTTTGATTGGGAATGACAGAACGAGCACTTCCTTCAAGTCACAATCAACCAAATGAAGCTGGATGATCGCTCTCAAAAATGACCAGGCGGGAGGGGAGTGAAAACTTGATCACGGAAATCAATAATGGTGATAAAACAAGCATGATTTACTAGAGACATTCAAAATATGGAAATAAATTGGACTGGTACGCATATGACCTTTATAAGAAGATGTAAATACAGGTAAATCTGGTTCCTATGGGCTTTTGCACATTGAATGCAATTGTTGCACTGCAAAACAAACTAGACCTTTAAGCCTCATGCGCAAATTGTCTATTTTATCATAGAAATTTAGGCCAGGTTTGAACAGTGTCCCCCACAGACATTTAGGGATGGTTGAGGGGCTTTGGGCTTGCGTTGATGGGCAAATAAAGCGTACTTCCAGGTGCATTTGGCATGCATTTTAGATCAGTTTCATATGCTTTTGGGACCATTCACTGGTCCTTCACAGGCACATTACACCTGCAGTTGACATCCTTGTAACCTGCATTTGCCCTCTCAAGCTACATCAGCCTGCTTCAAGCCGTTTTTGCATTTATACTGACTTGTAAAGAGATCTGCTGGCTCACTGATGTTGGCTATACCCTACACAGCAAGCAATGAATCCCTGGTGATGTGTGCCAGTTTTTAAGTCCATATTACGATCTATCATGTTTAAGCCCTGAAGGTGGGAGGTCTTTAACCACTTGAAATGTGTTAGATAGTCTTTACTGACAGACATCTCAACAAGCATCACTTAGGATACCTCTTATTTGATATTATTTTCTTTTTTTTAACATAAAAGTGGTTTCCTATTTCTGATGATGGGGGCAACGTATTACGTTGTATTGTGTATAATGACTAGTACAGAAGGAAACATTTTGGAGAGGCATTAATTACCTGAATTAAACGTTATCCAATATCAAAATCTTAATCCAATTGAATATGTATATTTATAAAAGGAATCTGTGTTTTGGTTGGAGCTTTAAAAAGATACATCAGTTCTAGCTACAGGAAACGGGTGGCAAAGAAAAAACAGCAGTACAATGGTCAATTCCTTCAGTTCTTACTAAAACCATGTAAAATGTATCAGCTCGAAGAAGCACAAGGCAGAAATGACTTTTGGTTGCCAAAGTCAGTGCTCACAGCAGGACTTTCACATTTATATAGGAGGAGATTAATTGACCCATTTATCTGGGGTGGGTGCCATTACAGCAAGCAAGTTGAATGATGCCTTTTTCTCGGATCCTAAAACCTGCAATCGGAGGACTAGAAGCTGTTAAAGGATGAAACCAGGGCAGTCAATATTTGTCAATGGTTTACATTTCGCGTGCAAGTAATAAATAAAAGCACTGGCCAGAGACGCAACTAAACCTCTCTAGTGTTAATTTCCATTTTATGAACGGACCACAATGTTCTTTCCATTGTTGATATAAATTAGGATTCCTGGAAAAGACTGCAGTTAACAACCTAAAAACAAATACAAAATACAGTTGTAGTCTCTGCCCTCATTCCAAATCCACCAAGACGGAAACTGCAAAGCTTCCATACTAAGCTCCTTACTGAAAATGCTAGGTGCCTGTCTGACATGATGATGCTCTGGCTTCGGTAGTTTCTGAGTCACCGATACGGAGCAAGTAAAGCAATAGGGAATACTCCTACTTGCTGTATGCTGTTCTCGTTGTGTGATTCAGAAGTAATGGCTAGCTTTAGTACTTCTGAACGAGTAATACTTTTTGGGGGAGGTCAGCAGGAGCAGCCTCCAAATTTCTCTCATCATAGGCATACTTTAAAGAACAACTCTTACCAGTGCAGTGGGGCTACCCCCGCACTGCAAGGGTTAAGTGATTGTTTTATCTAGGGGACTCAAAGCAGATATACTTCACCTGATCCTCCGTCCACACTGGCCTGCTAGACCGGTCCATACACCCTCTTCTCACCTGGGCTGTGGCAGTCTAATGACCACGGACGTCATCAGGTCTTATGCTGGTCCATTGACTTGTATTAGATGTGAGAATGTTGAGGGACATTTCATAGCCAAAGCAAAGAGGAGAAGAGAGAGGTGAGCGCTGACCACTGAGGATCAGATGAGTATATCTGCTTTATATGGTCCCCCTAGACAAAACACGCACTTAACTCTTGCAATGTGGAGGTAGCCTCTACTACAAGGGTAGATTATTTTTTAAATTTCCAGAGTTCTTCTTTAAATGGAAGCTGACCTGACATAAAATATCTCCAAGGTAGTAGCAGTGTTAAAGCACAGGCAAGTACCAGTCTTGGTCTTCAAACTAACCTATCCCTATCTAGATCCTAGACTAAGGACTTAACTTATGCCCTAAAACCAAGGAGATCAAGTCCAAGGGACATTTTCTCTCATCCTTGTAGAGTCCTTGGATTATAGGCCTAAAAACTGCACATGGCACATCTTCTACTGAAAATGTAAAGGTTTTATTTAAAAATGTTATTAGCTTGTTGATGAGGGGGAAAAGGAAGAACCAGGGAAGGCAAACTTCAGATTTAAATCACCACTTCTCTTATTTCTAGTTGTCACACATCATTTTTGCTACAATTCAACTCTACAACTGAAACTAGAATTTTAGTGACATGATAAAACCAGTATTTCAAAGCAAGAACCTTAAAATATCACAAAACAAAATGGAGATTTTTACTCTGCCAGGTCTACTTTAGCTGTAATTCTGCAAATTGCTACACGGTGACTAATGCAGACAGCATAGACGCTCTGAGTCACTTCCTATTATCCTTGTAGATTATGTGCGTCAAAGACTTCAAAACTTCTGTTAAGTGCAGGCATTAGGGGAAAAGCAAGTCGCTTTATCTCTCCATTCCTGCCAGTATAAAAAGTATTCACAAGTTACTATTAGAAATTAGATATTTGGCAAGTTTTAAACTTCTAGATAAAGAGCATGGTCATCAAAATAAAGTAGATCCACTGTAATAGGGAGGGAGGAAATTTCATTATAAATGGTCAAAGACAGCAAAGGAAAGTCAAGGTTGAACAACTGTTACAATAATGATTTACTATGGCAACCTGTAACAAAAAGGTGCTCCTGAAAAGAACCCAGTATTGAGAAACTCTGCCAGGAAGTGAGAGGCAATCTACCCAAAATGAAAGGAAAATTCGGTTGCCACCAAACAAACCTTCCCTCACCACCTGACCTGGTGACATAAAAAATGTTTTTGTCTAATTTCGGATAATGTGGTGAAAAACTGTTCATTGCTGTCTGAATGCCTGTTAGCGAGATTTCCTTCTTATTTTCTTACAGTCTGTACTAGTGCAAGGGGAAGGCCATATTTTAGAGTTGGTAAACTGTAGCTAAAGTAAGTATAGTAACCGACTTAGGTTACCATGTTACCCTGAGGAAGGGACCCTGCATGGCCCTGAAGCATCGGATAAATTATTTAGGTGATACGAAGTGAATAAATCTGAGCAGATAATTTCACACATCTGGAGTGCTGGTGACTTCACTTTCAGTTAGGCCAATAAAGCATTCTCACTGTACATGGGGCAAGTGTGTGTGGTACTAGGCCCCAAAGTCAGGGGTTGAGCCCTTCGTAAATTTAACTAGAATCAGAGGCGACCACAGAAGAAAGTTGTTTAGCTTGCTAAAATTAGTAGCAAGGGACTTGTGGTGACTACTCTTAAAAAAGGACATTTTAGAATTTAAAAATGGTAAATGGGTAAACTGTAAATTCAGAAAGAGGATTTTAACAAGAACATCTCTTTAGAAGTCATAGCACCTTTAGTGTAACTTTGACCTGACTAACATTGTGGAGAATACTTTTTAGCCATCCTGGTATGGACTTGCATTGATACTCAAGGGCATTGCCTTGTTGAGCTGGACAGGTGACAGGACATTCTTCTTTGGAATTTTCTGATGCACACGGATATTCATGGTTCCTCAAATGAAGTCAAGTAATGGAGGTCATGGGGCAGCAAAGCATCCCCATATACTCACACTGCCACCAATATGTTTGACTAGTGGTATGATGTTTTAATGTAAAAAAACATTGGCATATTAAAAAAAAGGACACTGTAAAGACCTTGCCTGTTGTCCATCCGTCTGTTGGTTGCTCACAGGCTGTTCATTACCAGTGTTTTAGCTCTACAAAAATGCAACAGGATGAGCTGGAAAACTGCAGTGGTGGATGAGAACACCTTAAACTTGCAGGTGCACAGGAACAGAGTCTGCAATTATGGCAGATATTGATCCTGCGTTATTGAGTACATATAAGAAGCCAGCATCTGATTTAGCCCCCCAGGCTCCACTTATAACTAAATGTCACTTTCAGTGGATAGACCTATTCATGACTTCAAGAAAAGGAGCATAACCATCTACTACAACAAGATGTTTTCTTAGATGTCTTTCAGCTCTGTTCAGTTTACTGTACTCTGATCAATAACAAAATGTGATATGGTTGCTAAGGGATACTGCATTTTGCACTATGCTCCTTTATTTAATAAAGTTTATCTTTTTTTTTTTTTTTTACAGTTACCAAGTAATAAAGCAACATAAAAAACATGGCTATAGCCCAACTTCACTTTTCAGAAGGAAATAGGAAAAAATAGCCCAGCCTGTGGATAAATGAATGCAGCTCTCACCCCCTCTCTGGAGCTGTCCTCTACATTCACTCACTTTGCAAGCCAGCGCTAGTCCTCAAACCAGCATCATGGACACAACCCCCAGATGCGCTTTATCATGCCATTCCGGGCTCACAGTATTTCTGGACAGCATGACACTCACAAGTCAGTGTTCAGGAGGAAATATTTGGGATGTTGGGCTTAAAAGCAACATAACAGAGCATAGTTAAAGCAACATACTGCATATAGTACCAAAGAACATGCTTATATAAACTTAATTTTTCTGACTTTTTAGATGGACAGATCCAGATATACATACTTTTCTCTGAGGTTCTGTAATTCCTTTTTCATATCAGAATCCTCAAGCTCCGAGTCATTATCACTGCTCACATAGGAAGACTGTGAATGAAAAGATGTCACATTTATTGTAGGGATTTTCATGCCTTGACCGCTTGGGGAATCTGGGCCCTGCACACTAGCCTTTCGATGCAAGAAAGCTGTAGCTTTCTTCATGAATTCATTAGCCCCTTTGCTTGGGGTAGATGGAGCAGAATCTTTGGCCTTTGGCTGAAGAATCTCATCCTCATCTGAATCACTTGACACATGTCCACAAAAAAGAGAATTTATAGGGGAAGAAGTATGCGCTCGAGGCACAGAAGGCTTGACAAAGTTGGTAGGAAGCTGGTCTAGATAGACATCTGGTGGGGCAGAAAACCTCAAATAACTCGGAGATGTGACAGTGACCTCATCTTCTGTACTCATAACAGAAAACCTCCCAATGGTTTTCGACTTTTCAGCATGATGATGCCTCTTTTTAGGAGGAGATCGTTCTAAAGAACTTTGCTCTTTCCACTTCTGGTCTCCAGAATGGCGTCTTTGTGATTGGGCGGCAGCATGGACCTATTTTTCTCTCGTCTAGTCTTCGAGCTCAAAAGTATCAGTACATGTACTCATACTTGTACCGAGTACTGTACTTGGTATCTGTGCAACCCTACTTTAAAAGGTAACTTAATGCATACTGCTACTTAAACAGTTGAAGTGCATTAAAGTTTACCATTTACATGTCAAATTGTAGTCTCCACTATTTGTTATTGTTATTCTGACCGTCATATGATTTTCACATCTCTGTCCCACTGTACAGCAATGGAGATTACTCTGCTAATCCCTAGTTAGCTTTTCCTTTCCCTGGATCACCTTTCTGCTCATTGGGACGTAAGTAATGCCAATTCATTGTCTAACAATAATAATAAGATTGCATCACGAGCCTGCGATTTGGCAGTAGTTTGCCACACATTCACATGATTATCTGCACAGAATTTCAGATCCTTTCACAGGAAAACAGTATGCATGTTGTATTTATACTGGTAATTTGTCTGTTTGCCTGGAGCTTAAATAAATCCATCTTCCAAAATAACATTTTTAATGAGGGTAAACACTAGATGGTACATAGAGGTATATTAGTCATCTCGGACACAAAACTATTATAATAATGCAGCAAAAAAGGCACCTGCCAAAGAATCTGCAGGACACCTAAAGACTGTAAATGTGTGATTTGACTTTTCTCTTCTTAAGTTAAACAATACCGATTGGTCTCCTCCCTGCTCCTCATCTTTCTGCTCTCTTCTCTTATCAGTAGGGATGCACCGATACCAAGTACCGTACTCAGTACAAGTACAGATACCTTTCGAGCTCCAAGACTAGAGAAAAATTAAAACTTTAGGAGGCAGCTGTCATTTGTAAGGAGCACACAGACCTCCTGGGATTTGTACATCTCTGTTTTAAATGTATGATTTTGTTTTTCATAAATATAAAGGGATGCACCGATACCATTTTTGCGAGTACAAGTACTGATACTTGCCCAAGTACTTACAAGTACAGATACATTTTTGTTTATGGTCATGCAACAGTTTTTCTAAAACAATATCGAGTAATGATTTCAGGACAGTGGTGGAGTGCCAGAGCTAGGTCCCAGCTGCAACCGCTGCAACCCTGGTAGTTCTCATGAAAATGCCAAGTATCGGCACTGGTATCTGAACTGGTATCAGTGCATCCCTACTTGGCAAGTTCTTTGTCAAACCCAATAATTGCAGGATACCTGACTGACCCCAAGTAATGCTCCTCCATCTTACAGTGCTGCTGTACAATGGATTACAAGACAAAAGAATCAAGTCGAATTCAGGTATTTTTACTAGCTGCATTTAAAATAAAACATTTTATACATACACAACTGCATTCATCTGGGTTTTTTTTTTTTTATAACCGCCTAGAGTTTTAGTTTACTTTAAAATGTAGTTGTATCCTCTTTACATTGTACTGTTGAGGAATTTTAAAACATTTCAGTTCGGTCATTTGACTCTTATTGTTGCACTCAGAGAGACTAGATACGAGAAGGGTTTACATGCAAGATCCAGCCACACAATGATTGCTCACAATAGTGCATGTTCCCATCAGGCAAACAGGCATGTCTGGGTCTTTAGGAGTAGGGAGGGGAAATCAGACAACTGATCATCTTCAGGGAAAGCAAAAATGGCAGTTAAAAAAAAAATCAATCCCAGCTGATCGACCCTTGGCTGAGCAAGCTCAACCAATGGACATCAGGGAGGACATACGCACACAAAATCATTCCCTGATCTGTAAAAGGCTAGATTGGGCAAAAGATACACTTTCCTTTGTACCTCTAAAGTTGTATTAAAACTTTAAAGCTGTTTTCAACAACAAGCTGTCCATCTACTAGCTTGGATGAGGGAAGAGCAGGGAGCAGATGTGTGGCTTATCCTGCCATGCCTGTGTGTTTGTGGAGACAGACGCAGCTTACTAGCACACATAAGGGTGGCTCCATGGGACCATGTAAGGGAAAAGAGCCCCCCTAAAACAGGATATCAGGGCCAGCGCTCAGGGGACCAGCTGAATGTCCAGGAAACTAAAACATTTAAACATCAAGGAGAAGTATCCATTGTAAGTGATTTAATCAGCATTTGAAAACGTTTTTATTTTAATATCACTTTATAGAGACCCTGATGTGTTATAACAGTTTATACCCTTCATACATTTTACACTTCAAATGAAGGTTTAGTGAAATCTCTATCACACAGATGCTTACCCTTTGCCTTGGTGCTTCACAGTCATCTGAGCCACCACTGAGTGATTCTGCTGATAGAGCACTCTCAATTGGATACAAGATGGATGTGTTACAACCAGTCATTGGAGTCATGTCTGCATTCATTGGCTGCGAGCTTATAACTTCTGCTGTACTTTCTAGGGTTCCAGAATTTTCTGGTGTCCCAGCAGGCATATTAGCTGGAGTATATTCCTGATACAGTAGATTTCTGAGCTTTTCATCTAAAGTCTTAATTGTATCATATGTATATTCCACTCTGGGTGGACCTTCTCCATCTGACTCCATGCTTGCTTGTTGCAAAGTTGAATTTACCACAGGTAAAGCTAAAGGCTGAGTCTGAGAAACAGGTTGAGATGCTGATGATATTTCATGAACAACCTGAATGCCATCGTTTGTTTGATTACACTGGACAGCCATACAAGTATCTGGCTTTATTTGCACAGCTGGTGAACTGCAGTCTGATTCGTAAAACACAGGCTGAAGTTTCACAGGTTTTTCCTGAGGAAGGTTGTGTGGTTGACCACTATCATGGGTTACCTGTGCAGGGTGGACAAGTTCGTTTGAACCCTTGTCATTGTATCTTTGATCTGGAGGTGACACGCATGTATTGTGCTCAGATTGTGCCAAAGTGCGTGCTGTTGCCTTCTCATTAAGTGACAGTACATGAGGTTCTGCTACTTCCACTTCAACAACTGGCTGAAAAACCGCAGATGCACCAAGAGTAGCAGGATCTCCTTGCAGGAAGGAAACAGATTCAGGAAGAGTTGAAATCGACATTTCAGTCTGAGTTTGCAGATCGGATGATATAGTGGATGACGACTGTGTTATAGAGGACAGTGTCAAGGAAGTAGGAATTTGTGTAGCATGTTCACCAACATCTGCGGAGATTGACTGGCCTGTGGTTGAGATGGACTTGTACTGTTCAGTAGGGAATTTATGTTGGCCATCTTCACAGACCATTTCATCTGTAAGAAATGAACGGGAAACATTATTCCATCTATCTGATATCATAGATACAACAGCTAAGACCAACCAGATTTGTATCTCCAAGCTCTCCAAACAAAAACTGTAAATAGATATTGAGTAGGTTGAACCTAAATAGCAGGATTTTATTTCTTCTACCATTTTTAACACTCCCTTGGTGTGGCTGGAATACATTTAAAGCTTCGGTTTCCTCCAACTGACAGATTTGGTTAAAATGAATTGCTAATTTATTCCCACACTAGATCAATATGATTCCCAGTCTTAAAGTAAACTTGTCATGAGATAAACAGAGGGACTGTCCTATAGGACATGTAACCTTCTGACCATTATAACTCTTGGTACCCAATCTAGAAAGAGCACTCATCAGGTAAACACAGTGATGGAGCACTGAATTTGAAGTATTTTTAGATTATGAGCAAAGTTTCCACATTTTCTAGAGGATTTTGCCACTAGGATTTTATTCCTTTGTTTAATTAATTTCAGCACTAATTATTTTTTTCTTTACTTATATATTGTAATGTGAGGAATTGTTTGGTGAATCACTGAAGGGTATTGAAATAGTGTACGTATCCACTTTTAAGTTTATTTTAGCACAGTGCAATATTTATTTAATTTGCTTCTGATATAGCTAGTTACCTAACTGTTACGTGGAGCTTGATTCTTTTCTCTGTCACTGACCTAAAACAAGTAGGCAGATTAAGAAAGTCAGAGAGAATTGTCAGAAGCCCTTAACGCAAGGCATCAAAGAGCCAGGAAATGAACATTTTTGGAACAAAAGGCAAACAATGCAGACTCCATGTTTCTCTTGTGATAGATGTTGCTTTAGATGCATAAGTGTCATTTTAAATGCATGGTACCTTAAAGTAAAACTGAAGCCAATTTTGTTTTGTTTTGGATGAAGAGAATTATGACCCTTGTCAGGTTTTTTTGCCTTCTGTATCTCATTGGGGAGATTTCCCTTCACTTCCTGTTTAATAGCCACAACAGGAAGTGAGAGGGAAATCCCTCCAAAGAGAGGGAAATCTATGGTAGTCAAAAGGATCACCAGAACTAGTGTCCCCATTGGGAGATTTCACATTTATTCCTGTTCCGATGACAACCCAAAATTCAGAATGTTCTTTTTCCGTAATAATGGTAACCAGGACAAATAAAGAGGGTCAATCTCCATAATGGGGACACCGATAACATCAAAAACCTGACAGGTCTGCTAATGTCTCTATACTCTATCCAAAACAAAAATGTTTTTGCTTCAGTTGCACTTTAAAGTGACTGTCATATGGGGAGTGCGGGCTCCCATTGTTGGCCTTCTTAAGAAAATGCTAGATGCTTGAATGCGTTTGCCTTAACTACTTTTTTAATTACAGAATAAGATTGAGCATGCTGTAAATGAGGGTCAGATAAGTGTTGGAATTACCTATTAAACCTGTTCTGGTAAGACAGCACTAAAGCCAAACATAGCAGCCAGGGTACTGGCAGTTTCCAAAAAGGAAAAAATAGCAATCGAAGCCTCCATCATTTTTTCATGACAGAGTCCCTTTAAATGTTTTCATTGCTTCACACAGCCGTCAGTACACATTGACAGCATTCCAAACTCTACATAAACCAATGTGCTAACATGTGCTGTCATCACAGAGCTCAGTGATGACTGCTGTGAATCAAGGGCAGCAATCAACTGGGTTGTATAAAATGTAGAGATTGTGAATGAAAATGCTGGCACCCATTATAGCCAATGTATGTGATGCTTAACAGGATCAATTCATTGAGCTATGTGCTTCCACCACTTCAATAAGGAATAAAAAGTAGTCCAACTTACAAAATTAAAGACCTTCCATAAACGGGTACCAATTAAATAAAAAGTCCCATTTCCTGTTTTAATATATCAAGCAACAACCCAAATGCCCTGGAGGTTCAGAAAAATACTTCTGTTTCTATTTGCAGCAGAAGAATATGTAAATGAGAATTTGGGAACATTTTATATGATTTGTGATGAAATATATTAATTCATGCATTAGCCAAAATGTGACCTGAATAAAATACTTGAAAGGACTGTTAATACGAATAATTCAGCGGCCAGAGTATAGAGGTGGATGAGGTCTAACCAGACGTTCCATTATCTGGAGCAAGGTTGCATAAAATGTAATAGCGCTATGGAGTGCGTCTACACCCCACATTTGTCACATGAGCAACCTCAGTGCATGTGTTGTAATGCTTAAGAGAACCAATCACAATTGGGCTTGTGCAATAATCTAAATATTCAATATCATTAAAAATGTGCATAAGGTTTACATTAACCTAGTAAAAAAAAAAAAAAAAAAGGTCTAGGCTCAGGAAGTTACAGGTAAACACAGACTGGAGGCAGTGTTATTGGCCTGTGGCAGGGCAGTTCAGAGTTTGCATAACGCACATAACAGCCCTGTGGATCAAGTTCATCTAATCTAAAAATGTAATTGTATCAAGTAAAAAAAATTATGTTGACGTCCCAGAAAGGTAGTGTTCTTGTCAATTACTGTGAGCTAGAAGGCACAAAAGAAATATATATTTATTGCGTAAACTAGTAATACAAATCAACCATGTAATGGAGATGAACAAAAAGGTAGACATGTTTGAAGTTCAATCTGGACAACAACCATGGCTCCCTCCAAATATAATGGAAAAAATTAGTGTAGAGGAGGGGTGTCATCTGCAGGATTCATCAGGTGAAACGTACAGTATATGATAAAAGCCTCAAGAAAATAAATGCAGCCACCACATCGAAGGACTGGTAAGCTCAATTACATTACATTTTTGAGGGTTTTTTTTGGTTCAGTTATGATTTAAGAGAAAGGAAAACAACTATACGACTGATGGCATTATGATTATTGCAAGACAACATAGTGTTATTAGTAAGAGTTCAGGCAGCAGACTAGGGCAGCAAATGTCAGCTCTCAATTGTACCTCTGATGGTTTGTCTAAGGATGACTCTTGGAGCCAAGTACTTCATAGGTGAACCAGCTGAATTATCGCAATCAACAAATCAGGGTAATGGTACACTTACAATTCTTCAAGGATCAGCTCTCTACTGGAGGACATAGCAGATAGGTGAAACACTCATCTGCTTTCATTAGTTATATTTAAAAAGCAGTGAATGTGCTGTGCAACATTTTAGTGCAGGTGAATCCATCTGGTGTATGTGTTTTTAATTACAGCAATTAATTTGCCTAGAATGAATGTCTGGTGAATGGCACATTAACCACTGTATAACTATAGCCCCATTTCTCATTTCTTTGCCAACTGGATAACCGAGGCGCCATTCTTTCCTGACAGGGAGTGAAGCATACAAAATAAGGAAATGTTCTTTTATCTTTGAGCAATCCTGACAGTGGAGATTCTCGACAGCAACAGGATTGCAATTGTGATATTAGCCTTTAGAGAATTTTCCTGAGAGCAAGGCAGTAGGATAGAATCATTAGACTTCTGTGATTAAGCAGTTTTTCTCATTATGCAGCATTATTTGCCTTGTAAGGTCAAAAGTTTATCAGCACGGATTGGTAAATACGTAATAACGGCTTCCTGAAAGGTACATAGTAGGACAGTGCCCAAATGTCCATAGCTTCACATGTAGACTGCAGTATGTGCCAGGGGTCAGAGACGCCAAATCACTGAAATAAGCAACCAGGGCTCATTGGCATTTGGGCAATCTCATAACTGCAGCCAAGTTCATTATTTATTTTTATCTATTTATCATTTAAATAACTTTAAATGGTGATAATTTGAGTTTTAGTCTCATTCCTCTTTTACATAGGCCTACAGGGCTAACCCCACAAACAATACATAACATATTGTAAGGTCTCACGAGCAGGGCCCTCCTAATCCTCTTGTATCAATAGTAATTTAACTGTACTCTCTCACTTTATTTTGTTGGTGTTATATAAAGCCTGTATAATAAGAATACTAATATTTAAAATGCTTCCTGTAGATGACAGTATGGGTGGTGCATAGAATGAATTTCTTTCTGAATGGCCAGGGGACCATACAACAATGTAAAGTGATTGACAAGAGCCTGGAAACGCTCACCTGCAGAAAAGCAGACCAAGTCACCATATTCCTGACAAGTACAGGCCTTCACATAGAAGTGTTGCAGTTGTGTACACAACATATGTCAGAATAGAAACAAAAGCCCAGGGCAGCTAGACTGCATTCCTACATGTGTTTTCATGCCAAATGTATGAGGGTGAATGTACCTTTGGCATTAGCAACTGTGCTGTCACTTTGATGCTCCGACTTTGTGGTCACTGAAGAGACATCTGTGGAGTTTGGGCTCTCCATCACTGGGCAGATGATAAACCACCGCTTCCCAGTATGCAAGACTAGAAAACACAAATGCATAAAAGCTTAATAATCTACATCAATGTGAACAAAAAGCCAACTATGAGAAATGGGATGATGATCTCATACCGTTTTGCTGGTATACTGGTGTCTTTACTTGGGCATGTTGATTTTCCTTGAAAAATTAAAAAAACGAAAGTGTTTAGCTGTCTTACCCGATGAGACCACAAAGTTTAAAATCGTAAAAATCTGATTCGTTTCAAAGAATAAAGATAACCAAAATGATGCAAAATGTTTTGCAAGGGCCAAAACAGGGAAAAATCATTCAGTAGCTTCTTCGATTTCTCAGATAATCCAGCAGCAAGATCTCTATGTAGAAGTTCCCAACTTGGTGCCAACTGCGGCTGTTACTTTGACAAGCAAGGGGATCACTTTACTCCTGCTGCATTGAACTAAGAATCCAAAGAAGAGATCAAGAACCACTCATAATGGCCGCAACAGGTGAACTGAGCTGGAAACAACAGTGTTACAACAATTATAATAATGGAAAAAAGAAGCCCCCCCATCACCCCAAAAAAGCTCATATTTGATTAGGAATTAAACCACATCTCCAGTAAATAAAAAAAAGTCCTCACGCCAATGCTAGGGGCAGAAAGGCTAAAAAAACACAGTGTTCCCACTCTGTCAGTTCACCTAGAAGTAAAAGTAGGTGAAAACGGTCACCATATTCTAGTAGCAATTTGCTACTAGATCAGAAGTACTAGGTATAGACCTAATTTAGAGAAATACTTCATCCTCAGATATGTGATCTTTACTGTGTGGCCCTACCTGAACATATACAACCTTGCTACAGAATGTGACCCCTCCAGGTTCTCTTTAACCTGTGCATGTGTGCTATAGCCCCATTTATTCCAATGGGGAGCCACACTCTACAACACGTGTCAAACTCAAGGCCCAGGGGTTGAACCCGGCCCACTAGGCCATTTCCTAGACTTCTATTTTCAGATCTAGGTATTAAGTTATTACTAAAACCAGTGATAAATCGAATGCAGAGGCAATTATGATAAAGATTAGATACATTTACAGGCGGTCCCCGGGTTACATACAAGATAGGGACTTTAGGTTTGTACTTAAGTTGAATTTGTATGTAGGTCGGAACAGTTACATTTTTTAAGTGCAACTCCAGTCAAAATAATTTTTTTTTGTTTTGGATAGCATAGGGAAGGGTCACGGTTATTTTGCTGTCTGTTCCTGTTGTTCAGAACATTATAATATAATTAAAACATTTTTTTATTTAAAATGACACAGCAAAAAAAGTTTTTTTCTATTTTTAATTTTATTAACTTTATTTTTTATTATTTGTTTGCATTTTATTTAATTTTGTCTTTACTTTTTTTACATTTTTTTTGTCTTTTAATTATTTTTTTGTAATTTTTTTTTTTTTTTTGTATTTTTATGCTGGGAGCCATACCCAGCCTGCTATTGGATATTTCAAATTGCAATAGCCAATAGCAGGCTGGCTATTGCATCTGCCCACTGCCTGCTGTCAATCAGCAGAGGAGGGGCCTGAAGCAGAAAGTTCTCTATCAGGTCCCCCCATGCTGATTGACAGCAGACAGGTGCAATAGCCAGCTTGCTATTGGCTATTGCATTTTTACAATATCCAATAGCCGAGGCCGGACCAGGAGACCAGCGGATTGTCCGGACCGGGGAAGCCGGTGGAACGGCTAAAAAGTAAGCCATCAGCGGAGGTACGTGGGGCATCGGCGGTATGCAGCGGTCTGTGTCCCCGCTGCCTTCGCCAACACAGGCGCGGAGAGCAGCGGAGATTGAAAGGCAGCCACAGTTCTCCTAAATGTACCGGCGGCTGCCGGTACCATTTAGGAGTACTGTGAACCCCGTTCATAAGTACGGATTGTCCGTAATTTGGACGTCCATAACCCGGGGACTGTCTGTATATAGTTACAGATTTGAGGGCAACCATAATGTTGATGCGGCCCATGATTAAATTGAGTTCGATACCCCTGCTCTACAGGATCGCTGGAGAATAGAATGAATGGGGCTGCACTTAATTGGGATCAAAAGGACCTGCAGGGGTATCTTTGAGGCAAGGCTGTGCAGCTCAGCTAGATTAAGGCTGAAGGTAAGTACTTATGCACTCAGTGGACTGCACTCAGACGGGGTGGGGGCATGCCTTAAAGTGACAGTAAATTAGGAGTTAAAAAAACAACTTAAAAATGCATTCAAGAACCTTAACTATCAACAAAAATGTACCTTATTTGTGTATCACTCGGCTGTAGATCCTCAAATCATCTCTGAATTGGTGCGGACACTGTCCTTCCTTCTGGAAGGTGGATACTTTTGTTCCCCATTGCCTGTGTGTGTGTTGTGAAGTAGCTACCACTCCAAGCTCGCTCCCGTGATGACCACAAATCTGACGTTTAGTTTACTCATTTGTATTGAGCTTGTAGTCCATCACGGGAGTGAGCTTGGAACGGTGGCTACCTTACAACAGACACAGGGACCATTGGGGACAAAAGTAGCCACTCTCCAGAAGAAAGGAGGGTTAAAGGTCGCTTTAATGGGCAACTAGTTTAATGGGCAACTATGTCTGATATATAGTATTTTACTCTCTCCACTAACTTTTTAAAATACTGTAATGAATGCATCTGGTAGTACCAAGTTTAGAGAAACTTGTGACCGTCCAAATGGTCAACATTTGCAAGAATAGTCACTACAACAGATGATTCAGTAAACAAAATAAAACTATATTAGGTTATTTTAGGGTATTTAAAGCAGGAATTAGACAATGTAAATAACATACTAATATTATAATCTACATCACCCATTCAGCTTGGTAAAGCAACTGAAATGTGTAAAGACATTACTCTTGCTAGGTGTTATAAAACCCACCCTGCCGACTCCATGTAGCTTTATTTGTAAAAAAAATAAATCAAGGCGACTGGACTTGCTGTATTTTTATTGAAGACAGTTCGCTGGTCATCCGACCAGCTTTCTCAATTCAGGAAGCTAGTCAGATGACCAGTGAAACTTCTTCAAGAAAAATACAGCAAGTCCAGTCGCCTTTTTTTTACAGATACCATGACCTGGATGAATGAGAACCTTCACAGACATATCCATGTAGCTTTGTCACTGTGAAAGGCCAAACTTACAAGACTTCTGTGCTGGCAATTCTTGGCATAATCACGTCAATCCACAGGCAACATGAAATTAGGTGTAAGCTTTCTATGCAGTGTGTGGATATTTAAATGCATCATGCATATTTCATTTGAAATTGTATATGGTTTCGTTATTGTTGTCTGATTCCATCAAACTGTATTGTATTTAACTACATGAAAAATATTAAGCATTCAAAGTAATCTTTTGGGGCAGTTAAGAGACTGCAACAGCAGGGGACGCGATGACACATGAAGCCTTGCATACACTAACTGTTACCTGGCATGCACATCCCCTACACAGTACATTTACGGGTTAGAGAAAAAAAATATTGATACTTCCAATTACGTCCTAATCACCTCTACCCCATCACCAAGGATACCAAGTAATGAAAGAAAACAAATCCAAGCTGCCAGCAATGTGGGTCTTTGCCAGTCTGCAAATATGACAGCTTGTGCTAGATAAAAGAGCAGTGATGGCGCACCTAGGGCACACAGAGGCTCCTCTGGTGGCACGCAAGCCTAGGTGCTGGTTTCCAGGGCCCGCACCCGGGGTGCTCACGAGGGCCTCCAGTGTTCCACGGGGACTCCAAGTCACATGAAGTTTTTAAAGATGGCCACCGCAAAAAGAGGTGGCCATCTTTAAACCTGGCAGGTGCCCAAATCCTATTATATTGCCGAACCAGCAATATATAAAAACAAAACCATCCCGTGATGGTCCAGTGGAGGATCAGCATGATCTGCATCTCTTGTGATCCTCCACTGGACCACAAGGATAATCCCCAAGTGCTGGACCCCAGGGATTCAGCCCCCTCCATGCAAAAAACAGGAAAGCAGGAGGCCAATTTTTTAAATAATAGTTGTGTGTGTTTTGTGTGTTTTTTTTTTAATGAAGATGTGTGTTGCATGTGCGATATGTTTCATTACATGTGTGAGGTGTTTTTTTTTTTTATGTGTGTGATCTATGTGTGCGAGTTTCATTATGTATCTGATGTGTGCATTTCATTGACTGTATAAATGTTTGAATATATACGTGTTTCCCTACTTTGCCTAAGGGAGTGACGCTGAAAGTTTTTTTTAAACCCCAGCGCCCAAACTGCAATGCAATAACAAACTTCAGTGTTGGCACTTCGAGATAAATTAATTGATTCTGCGTTGCAGTTTGGGTTCAAAAACGTTTGTCATCACTGTACTAGGGGGTATTAGTGAATGAATACTCCTGTCATACAAGTAATAATATCTACCTGCTCATAGCTGGTTTTGTTGTTTTACAAATTGATTGCATTCAACAATTCTACATTGCAGCTGGTTTATTTTTCACGGCACCAGCTACAGGATTTGGACAGCCAGGTTCTAGGCAGACAAAAGTAAAAGTCACTCTTTTACCTGCAGCAGTAAATGTCTTGTAAAAGATTTTGTAGTGTGCATTAAAGATGGCCAACACTAATATTCATTACACATCCCTGTCCCTTTGTGGTCCAACTTCGAATAAATAACCCCGCAATAAAAGTAATTTATGCAGCCGAGAAGCAGGTGCTGACAGCCGGGGGTGGACAGCAGTCAATTTGCAATTTGCTTAGAGCAACAGATCTCGTTTCACAGGGTGTTCTGGGTAATCCAGAAAAAGCACTGAGCATCTCAGATAGATGTACTGTACCTCCCTCATTTCTGCCTTGGAGTCAGCCTGTTGAGGACTTGCCCCTTGATCGGAGCTTCTCTCCCCTTCCGTGTCTTCGCTCAGCATGTCCTCTGCCTTGTCGATGACATCCTTCATCTGCTCAATGAAAATCTCTTTCTCCATCTGCAGTATGAATTCATTTTCCACCTGGAAGCATACAGATATGTTAATTCACAGTCTTGCCGCATCCACGGGGCACAATATCAGAATGGGAATACTAAGTGCTCTAAAATAATACACCTTCTGTTTAATACAACTGAAAACTTGGAGACTGTCATCCTACTATAGGGGGGGGGGGGGGGGGGGGGAGAAT